AATTCAAAATCTCTTTCCCTCTGCATGGATTTCCGTTCCACTCAGAAATTTCCAGTTCCTTATTTAAGGTATTTAAGTGGGTCCTTATTTTAGGTAAGTAGTTTGTTGCATTCATTTATAATAAGTCATACATCTCTGATATTTGCATTTTAAAAGATTATAGAATAGGGGTTAGCAATTTTTTTCTATGAAGAGCCAGATGTAATTATTGCTGTTACAACTACTCAGCCTTGCTATTGTGGGGTGAAATCAGCCACAGACAAAACGTAAATGAATGTCTGAGGCCTGATTTGACCCTAGGCAGGTCAGATCAATCCATAGTTTGTCAACCCATGTTATAGAATTCTACATGGGATGAAGAAATTTAAGTGCAATAAATTTAGGCAGTTATGTCCTCCACTTCTACAGCTAATGAAAATGATTTCATTTCTTTACTGTTTTATCTTTCTTCCAAGGTTATCTGAGGAACAGAGGTCAGAACCTGGCTACTTTTGAAAGTTTACCAAGGCTTAATTAGAAAATACCAGGCTTTACATAACCGCTAAAGACTATGTATTATGAGGGTTGAGGTTATTGTTAAGATTAGGTTGATGTGTGTGTATAAAGATAAATGTACTTGTGTATGGATGCATACAAATTATGTATTGTGTTATATATGTGTGTATAATTTTTTAATATATTTACTGTGGAATGCATTTGGATAGTCTCTAAAATATTCCAAACAAATTTATTGAATGTGAATGTGAAAGGACCCATGAAATAAACTAGGAAAAAATACATATTGCATCATTTGGCCCTGCTAAAGCAAGTAAAGATGAATAAATATCAATGTGGTTAGCATCTCCTCCCATAGTATTCTGGATTGAAATGTTTTACTTCAATCTGATGTTTGTTTAGCTTTTTCAGCATATGATAATTGTTCGTGTATAAAAGAAATGTAGTGTTGAAACAGTGGCATTGTTTTTAGATCTGTGGCAAGTATGTTGTGAATTATAAAATTATATTTCAACTAATATTTCCAAGTAATAATAGTGAGAAAATTTGCATTTGCTATATCAGTGTTTTACAAATTACTGGATAATGCCGAATGACCATCACTCATTTAATGGATTTCTCATGAAATAAAATATTTTCTCAGAAAATTAACCCTGGGGAATTTGAGCCACTCAGGAAAACAAAATGGCATATTTTAGCCCCTAATATTTTATTTTATTTTATTTTTCTTGGAAATTATGTCATTTCATTGTAGGTCTTGAACAGGTATTTTAGATGACTTTAACCTTATTGAACAAACCAGCGTATCAAATTTTTGTTTTTCTCGGTCGAGATTTGAATATTTTGTCTCTGCTATTAAATTAGAGCTGACCCAGATAATAAATCAGTTAAATAAAGCATTGCCCTTTTCCTTGATAAAAATGATTACATTGCATACCTCTTTCTATCTCTTCCCTCCTTCTAACTCCATTCTGGTAGTTAGCATTCATTTATTTCAGCAAATAGTTGGATAACTATTATATGCCAGGCAATTGTTTTAGGCACTGGGAACAAAACAGTGAACCAAACAACCTTTGCCCTTATAGAGTTTACGTTTGAGTGGGGAGAAGGCAAGAAACAACTGATTATTGTTTAATATAAAAGTTATGTAGTCTCTTAAAAGGTAAGTGCTGTGGACACAAGTAGAGCAGGGTAAGGATGTAGTAATCTTTTATAGAGTAGTACTAATCTGTTAAGTAATGTTAATACTGTCATCTTATTTTCTCTTTCAATTTATAGTTCCAATGACAGGATTCACACAGAGAGCAACCATTGATCCAGAACTGAATGAAATACATGTCTTATCTGGACTCAGCAAAGACAAGGAAAAGAGGGAAGAAAATGTCAGAAATTCATTCTGGATTTATGACATTGTAAGGAACAGTTGGTAAGTAGCTCTTGTCTGTGCTGCAATCACAGTGTAACATTTATTTGAGGTTGTTGGTTTATTCAGAAGAAGAGAGAGATGGAAGGCTTATGTTAATTTGTGATGTCATACATTTTAATATCAATATTGGGGAGTGGAAAAGTCAGTACTGGTGCCTGTGTATACAGCGATGTTCAGCAAATGGATTTTACCACTGAATTATTTCAATTAGTAGATGTTTCTTTGTCTGAGAGTCAAGAGAATTGTATTTTAGTCTAGCTTTTGCTACCAAGTAGATGTGTAAACTTGAGAACCATGTATTTTTAATGTTCCCAGGTCTTTTCTTAGTTTTTATAAAATGAAGCAGTTTGACTAGAGCAAGGTGGGGAGCATTATTATTTAGCATTTTCAAACTAGGACCCTTTTGTCACAGAGCATCTCACAGAACTGCTGCACATTTTGCTTTGAAAAACACTGACCTAGGGCTTCCCTGGTGGCGCAGTGGTTGAGAGTCTGCCTGCCGATGCAGGGGACACGGGTTCGTGCCCCGGTCCAGGGGGATCCCACATGCCGCGGAGCAGCTGGGCCCGTGAGCCATGGCCACTGAGCCTGCGCGTCCAGAGCCTGTGCTCCGCAACGGGAGAGGCCACAACAGTGAGAGGCCTGCGTACTGCAGAAAAAAAAAACAAAAAACACTGACCTAGAGGATCCAGCTCTAATGTTCTGTGATTACTACATAAGTGAATATTCTCCAAAACAGAGGAACTTCAGAGAACTTCCTCCATTCAGTAATGGAGGGTGGTGCTCATCAGCTAAGGAATTTATTATTTTCTAAATAAGACATTTATTTACAGTAAGAATGAAAGAAGTCTGTTGTGAGCTTTTTTATTGTGAATAGATAAATGTGATATCTCTTTCAGCCGTTGGTTTAAGCCTTCATATATGCTGATCCTGTTTCATAACACGAAGTAGTTTGTTCTTGAGTGAGATTTTTGATGGACATTAAAGAACTTCAGGACTCAGCTCTAACAAATTCAGATTATTTTATGAGGGTGACCAGAACTTTAAGATTTGATGTGGACAAGTTTATAATTTTTTGTTTGTAATTAGACATTACGTTAATTTGCTTGCTACAATTGTATTAACATTATGTGTGCTGCTAGTTTTCTAAGATAGAATGCCTTAAAAGCAATGTCTTTCAGGTCTTGCGTCTATAAGAATGATCAAGCTGCAAAGGATAATCCAAGTAAAAGTCTTCAGGAGGAAGAACCATGTCCAAGATTTGCCCATCAGCTTGTATACGATGAGTTACACAAGGTATACTAACTACATTGACCTGTAAACTTTCTGTGATGTACAATTGGAAGGAATCTCAAAATATATGTTTCTGATTATTTTTAAGTAGATTTGAATAAAAATGACTGACGTTTACTAGAATACGTAGCAGACATTTGATATCACCTTGTCCCTAAAATTCCTTAAGAGAATAAACATTTTTGCATAGTCCACAGTTCCTGACACTTTTCTTCTTATGAAAATGGTCAGTGGTTGCTGCTTCTTAGCTGCATAGATCTGATACATAGCATGGCCTATTGTTTCTGTCAGTACAATATGAATATTCAAGTAGAAGATGTACGGTTTTCAGCACTTGTATACCTTTTTCCATGATATGAAAAGGTATGTATAACTTCCTGATTTTAGATTTTCCCATTGTGTAAGAAGTCTTTTTCTCTTTATTTTTCCTATCTATGATTGACATAATCTGTTCCATCAGCCTATGAAAACCATCCTGAATTCTGAAGTTTTAGTGTCCCTAAGTGTTCAGAGTGGTTTCTTTAACTATTTCTCCCTTAAATTTTACATGTTTAATGATTGGGCTCAGATTACATAGTTAATTACTGACAGAACCTGTATTCTTTCTGTTTAGGCCATAGATGATTATTTAAATCCTCTATCATTTGAGAACTTTAGGTAAAAGATACCATGGGAGTAAATAAAAGCCCTTTCTCTGAGAGTCTCTCAAATTAAAGGATAAGTGAATTTCCATCTATAGGACATAAATAAATAATATCTCTGTTGTATAACGCTACTGGCTATAAATGTTTTCAAAATTTTCAAGAACTGCTTTAACACTTTGAGTACAGAATATTACTAAAGCTGTAATTATAATAGTGAAATCATTGTAGTATTCCTTTTACATTTCTTATTTGATATTAATTGAATAATAGAAAAATATTTTAAAAGTTATTTCACAAATCGTATATGCCATTTAAAAATATTCAGCATTATGGCTAAAGCAAAAGTAAGATGCTAAAATTTTTAAAGTTTCTGGTTACTGTTGACCTTCAGTGATTCAACTTGTGTGTCAGTTTTTTAAAAGATATCATTTTTTATTATGATCAACACTTGATTAACTTGATAATCCCCATTATTTGTTGCCCTAAGCAAACTCAGTATCTTGGAATAGCTTCTTACTATCATTGCTTTTGTTTTATGTCTTCCATTGTCAGTGTAACTGTGGTGATACAACTTATTTTAATAGAAAATGTAATTTAAGGAAGTAGTCCCAGTACTTTAAAGTAAAATGGAAACTTGAGAAAAAGCAGAAGCAGCCTTTAATAGACATGTAATAATGTTTTAGTCTTTAGTAAAGCTAAAGAAGTTGCTTATTACACACTACTACCAAAATGAAGACATTTTACTTTGACTTTCGTAGTTTCTTGAGTATGCATGCATTTTTTAAAAATCTGGTTTGTTTTATTTATTACAGGTTCATTATTTATTTGGTGGGAATCCAGGAAAATCTTGCTCCCCAAAGATGAGATTAGATGACTTCTGGTCACTGAAATTGTGTAGGCCTTCAAAAGATTACTTACTGAGGCATTGCAAGTACCTCATAAGAAAACACAGGTATAAAAATAAATCACTGAAAACTTCTATTTAGCATTATCAGCTATTGTTGGTATTACCTAAGCTTTGGAGATGTGACTTTGTCTTTGGAAATTTAGTAACATGACACTGTAAGTACTGTGAAGATCATGACTTTTGTAAATGCCCTGTTCTCCTTATTTTTGCTTTCTTCTTTCAAAGGATGGTACAAAGTGAAGGTAGATCTTGATGCTAAAAATTATTAACGATAGAGCAAGGATATTTTGCAGCTGTTAATGGAAAAAGTTTCTATGAACGTGATGAACCTACCTTCAAGTAACTCAAGGCCTAACCACTACAGATTATATCAGTTCTAGATGATTGGCATGTGAAGATTATTGGCATGTGACTGACCTGTTGATAACTCTCTTAACAGTGAATGTGATGATATAGTTGAGTAAATAATCTCTTTATAATTTAATGTTTCAGAATACAACTTCAAATATGATTATAGCTTTACATCATTACTTTTGCCATTTAATTGCAAAATCAAGTAATCAAACATTTTCATATGTCTCCTCGGTCATGTTTGCTTTTTAGCCTTAGCAGGTGATAAGCTGAAAAATGTAGAAAAATACATCTATCCCTTTGGTTACTGGTAGTGTTAGATCGTAATAAAAATTTACAATTTGGAGGGAGAGAAGTTTAGCTTTTAATGATGATAATAGGTACCATTTATGAGCAATTTTGTGTGCTAGATCCTGCATATTATTCTCACAATAAGACAGTGGAGTAGGTACTTTTATTATTACTCTCTTATAAAAGAAGAAATGGAAGCATTTTTAAGTGGGTTGTATAACTGACCTAAGGTCGTTCTGCTGTAAGTGACAGAGCCGGGCTTTGATGCTGTGTGTTCTGACTCCAGAGTTACCACTTCACCACCACCACCACCCCGTACACATCGGTATATACACAGACATGCACACATGTGTGTTTATATGTTTAGTATATAATTACATATTATATTTTATATAGAATATAAATAAATAAAAATCTCTGTGTAGGTGTAAGTTAGATTTGTGTTCCTTTATCATATCGTGTTTGCTTGTTATTTCTCTCTCTGCTTTCACAAGTTGTGCTTGATAGATAAATTGATAACAAAAGCTAGTTGCTTCTGTTACTTTGTTATTACTATGAATAATTAAAGAGTATTTCCTATAGAATCTATAGGAGAAAAGGTCTGAATCGTCATGTTGGCTGGATGGCAAGAGATAAATTCTGTCTTATTAACAAGATTTAAGCTTGAGGTACCTTCAGCTAATGTTTGCGTTACTAAAATATTATTCCTTGGTACTTAATGTTAAAGTTTGTTGTTAAAAGTTTAAAAAAACTTTAAACTTTGTTTTAAAAGGTTAAGACAAATAAGACAATAAGACACATTTGGGGAAATCATGTTTTTTTTTTCCTTCAGATACAACAACTATAGTTAGAATGTTGAGTTGAGCTTTTAAAAACAACTTCCTGACCAAAAGTCCACTAGAGATTAAAGAAGGTTGTCTAGTGCTGTATGTAAAGAATTTGAGCTTACTTATAAACACTTTCTCTGGCATTTGCTGCTTCTCCCGTTTTTTTTTTTTTTTTTTTTTTTTTTTTTTTGAGGTACGCGGGCCTCTCACCACTGCGGCCTCTCCCGTTGAGGAGCACAGGCTCCGGACGCGCAGGCTCAGTGGACATGGCTCACGGGCCCAGCCACTCTGCGGCATGTGGGATCCTCCCAGACCGGGGCACGAACCCGTGTCCCCTGCATCGGCAGGCAGACTCCCAACCACTGTGCCACCAGGAAAGCCCTTTCCTCTGGCTTTTAGTTAGAAAAGTAATCCATGGTTAATAAAGAAAAAAAAAAGTCCTCTCTCCCCACCACAAAGAATTGAATCATCCCTCATCCCACCATTCAAAAATAATATTTTGGTGTGTATCCCTTGCATTTTATGTGCACAAATAGAATTTTTGTTTGTTTAAAAAATAAGGATCATCTTGCTTTGAATCTGATGTCTTTTAATGAGTGATGTATTATAAACATCACCATGTTAAAAAATAAAAATACAAATCATAATTATAATGGCTACATAGTGTTCTACTCTGTGTAATTTACTTAACTAGTCTCCTTTTGTTGAATGTTTAGCTTATTTCCAACTTATTTGCAATTATAAATAACACTGTAGTTAATGTTATTATATACTTCCATATGCACCCCTATCCAAAATTTCTGTAGGATGACAATAGAATTGATGAATTACATGTTGCCCTCCAGAAAGTTAATTTTCATTCCTTCTGGAAGTAAGTAGAATTATTCATTTTCCCACAACCAACCTATCCTAAGAAGTACTATTATTTTTGATCTTTGGCAGTCATTTTTCTCCTTTAAAAATCTGTCAGTGGACAGGTGAAATGACAATTTATGGGAATCTGAAATACATATTATGGCATGTTTTAAGTTTCAAGTACAAAACATCATTAATGACTTGTGCTAGTAAAGGCACAAAGTGAAAAATGAAAGTGGATAAGGAAAATAAAAATCAGTAACAAATTATTTAAAATTTTAATTACATTATGAAAGAATAGCAAATCTTGTGAGTGTGAGAATGATTCATGAAATAAAGTGACTGAAGTTGAAAGGTAGCAAGTTTGTGTGATTGGGCAAATAATCACCCTTTGAAATTTGCTACTATTTAGTTAAAATATAAATTTTAAAGTATAAATTTTAGTTAAAATGTAAACTTGGAGAGAAGTATATTGAATGCCAATAAAGTGTCTTTGTTCTTAATGGTGCCACATAATACAGAAAATTAAATGCCACTGTTTTTTCCTATAGCATTTAAGTTTCCAAATATATTGATGATTTGGGGGTGGAAAGGGGCAAAAGAAAAAAAGTTAAATACGATTAGTTCCTTGTTCCTTTAGGTAGAGGGCAGAATTGTTGGCTGAAATATAATTCTAGACTGCAGACACAAGTCCAGTAATAAGTTTTTGTGGGCTAACAAAAAAGCTTAAAAAAGAAAAGAGAGAACACACCTTCCAGGAAAATGGATCCCTTTGCTGGATTTATTTAATAGTACAGTAGGTGTGTGTTGGTTATGATTACAAGGATAAAGACATACTTAGGATATCTCACTGAAAAAGAATTTATTATGAGAATATCCAGAGAATTAAGGTGCGTCCTCAGCACTTGAACAGTGAGGCCTGGTGGAGAATTGTTGAGGATACTGAGACAGTTCTCATAGCTAGAAGCTACTGAAGTAGCTTTCCTTGTAACTGAGCCTCTCTCTTTCTGCTTCTTTCTGTCTGCTTTGCCTCTTCTACTTCCTGACTCTGCTTTCTCTTATGGCTTCGGTAGGTGGCTAGGTAGCTAGGTAGTAGGAAGGAAGGGAGAGAAGGATAGGAAGAGAAGGAATCTGTCATCTCATGTCTTCTGCTTATTGCCTTCTGTGTTTTGTATGTTTTTTGTGTCCTTGTGTATCTCACATTCAGATTCTCTAAGAGAGTATCTTTTTACAGAGAGTTCCCTAGAGAGAGTATCCCTATTGGAAAGAATTCTGCCAGGCCACTTTATAAATTGCTCATCAAGCTCAAGACGATTGCTTTTGGCTCAGGTGCCAAAACTCTGATCTAATTCATTGTGGACAAGATGGTAGAGTAACATGGACCTAAGACTCTCATCTGAGGGTTGTAAGGCTGGCTGACAGTCAGGGTACTATCTGGTACAAGAAAACTGTAATATTTTGCCAGTCTTTGCCCCTCAAGGTACCCTATCACTGAGATTAGCTTTAAAGACAGGACATTTTTTTTTTTTTTGGACAGGAAATTACTGATGCCATCAGCTGAACACAGTTTGTGAAAGGCCCAAATGAAATTAAATGTCTTCTTTCTGTATAATTTTTTGAAAAGCATACCAGTCTATTAGAAATAAATACATATCTAATTATGCTATTAAAAAAGGAATTATCATTATTTAAATAGATATATAGTCCCAAGCAGACTTTTTTAATTTAAGAAAATCCATTGTTTCCTTTCAGCTTTGGAATCAGAGACACTTGAGTTTAATTCTACTTCTGCCACTTACTAGGTCTTAGCTTGGCCAAGTTCATTTACTAGGCTCAGTTCCTCATCTGTTTTTTTTATGTAAATGATGATAAACTTCTATCATAGAGTTATGGGAGGATACATGAAATGATATATGTAAGATACTTGATACAGTGTCTAGCACAAAACAAACGATTGATAAATGATTGCTACAGTTTTTGTTATTACTGACTGAGACATGGAAATAGTCTCATTAAAAATATCTAATCAGTGTTAATGATACTCATTAAAAGAAACTATACTCGGGCTTCCCTGGTGGCGCAGTGGTTGAGAGTCCGCCTGCCGATGCAGGGGACACGGGTTCGTGCCGCGGTCTGGAAAAATCCCACATGCCGTGGAGTGGCTGGGCCCGTGAGCCATGGCCGCTGAGCCTGCGCGTCCGGAGCCTGTGCTCCGCAATGGGAGAGGCCACAACAGTGAGAGGCCCGCGTA